CGCGCGTCAGCTAAGCGCCGGGCGCCGCCGGAGAGGACACGCTGATTGGCCCGACGCGCTGATTGGCGGGGCGCGCTGATTGGCTGGGCGTCCGGCAGCAGGGCGGGGAGGGGCCGCTTCCGTCCCGAGTTCCCCGAGCTGCCCCAGCTGGGGCCCTAAAGCGAGGGTCCACCTGAGCTTCCCGTCCGCCGAGACTGGTGCCTCTCCTGCGCTGGGCCTTACGGACGGCGACGGCGACCCTGGGATCCGCGACCTCTGGCCTTTAGGCCCACGGAGGCTCCGCTGTTCACCCTACGGAGCCCGGCTGCGCAAAGGGACAGCTCTTGCACCCCGTCGACATTGCACTTCAAGCCTTAGCGCTGCAGTGTTTGGCGCAACTGGATAGGCTCCTGCGCCCCAGGGCTGCTTATTGTCATTTCCTGGATCTCGAGGCTGGACAGGAGTAGTACATCCTTGCATCCTGCCCTCTGCAGCTCCTGCCTGTGGTGTCCATTTAGGACGCAGCCCTGAAGTGCACTCACTGCTGACCGCAGTTTTTCACCCCTTACACTCTACTGACCCAGGGAGCCGCGGTCCTGACTAACCACCCCCTTGTCTTCTCTCTCACTAAGCCTGGTCTAACTGGCTTCCCTGACACTCCAATCTGGTTTCACTTTACTATTGTGGACAGTTTTTTTGTTTTGTTTTAAAATACAGATCAACGCATATCATTTCCCCTCTTTCAGAGCCTTCCTTGGGCCAGAGAAGAGGCTAAACTCAGCTTGGGCATTAAAAGTCCCATGGTTCCCAGTACAGGTGAGTCTGAGGCAGGAGGATCACAAGTTTGAAGGCAGCCTGTGCTACATAGTGATATCCAGTCTTAAAACAATTTCCATGTTCCAGCCACAGCCTGCTCTGATAACCCCACCCTAGCTCTAGCCCTAGCCCTTCTGATTACTATATTTGTAGATAGGAAGCCTATATCTACTCATTCTACCAATTTTATTACTGGCCCTGTAGGCTGGCTATAAAATTTCTGTTTTGAGTCAGGCGGTGGTGTCGCACGCCTTTAATCCTAGCACTCAGGAGGCAAAGGCAGGCAGATCTCTGTGAGTTCGAGGCCAGCCTGGTCTACAGATCGAGTTCCAGGACAGGCTCCAAAGCTACACAGAGAACCCTGTCTCGAAAAAAAAAAAAAAAAAAAAAAAAAAAAAAGAAGTGTTGTGTATTTGGAGCAAAAAAGCTGAAGTACTCTGAGGAAATAAAAAGGGGGAAAGAATCCCAGTTGCTCAGATTTTCAGCTCTCCTGCCAAGATTAACACCACAACATTCTTTTTTTACAAAGAATGGTATTGGAATTTCACCATCGTAGACCTTTTTAACATTAAGAGATTTGCAAAAGGTGAGTTTGTTCATGTCTGTAATCCTGGAACTCAGGGGCTGAGGCAGAAGGATTGCCATGAGATGAAGCCAGCCTAGACCACATACAGATTGAGATCCTGCCTCAAATTAATATATAATTTTATATAATAAATATATGTATATATATTTTTAAAAACTAAGTGTGATGGTGCATGTCTGTAATCCAGTTCGGCCAAGGCTACGTAGTAAGACCCTGTCTCAAAGAAAACAACAGATTTGATAGACTCGAACTGACATCGATGGGTTCAGTACTTTGCCTTTTCCAAGGATCTTTCAGGGGACTAAATCCAAATACTAAGGAACTGAGGAACTAAATTGTTGCTATTCAACCTAGTTTTTTTGTGTTTCAGAATGCTTCCCTTTGAAGTCACAGAAGTGCAAGCTCTCTTTCTTTCCCTCCCTTCCTCCATCCCTCCCTCTTCTCTCTGTTGGGGTTTATTAGGAAAGGGGGAGTTTGGTATTTGTTTTTAGAGGCAGGGTCTTATTCTGTAAACTGGGCTTAAACTCAACAGTTTCCACCTCAGTCTGCAAGTGCTGGGCTTAAGGATTTAATTGAGGGAAGAGCAAGAGAGACTTGCCTCTAATTTCATTTTACACAAAGTTTGATGTCCCTTCATTCCGATCACCTAAGCAATTTTAGTAGGAAAACTTTTTCATGTGTGTGTGTGTGTGTGTGTGTGTAGACCAGAGGTCAACATCAGGTGTTTTTTTTTTCAACTGCTCCCATATTTGTGTAGTATGTATGTATGCACCCATATTTGTGTGGAGTACTTGCAGGTACATGCACATTTGGAAGCCAATTGTTGACTGTGGAATTCTCCCTTTTTTTTTTTTTTTTTGAGTCTCTCACTGAACCAAGAGCTTGGCTAGATGGATGCCATCAAGCCCCTGAGAGCCACATGTCCTGTGCAATCTGTGTTGTGCCCTCTCCCCACTCCCTGGCACTGTGAGGATACCCCAGCAGCTGCAGAAGACTCTGCCACTGTGGCTGAAACACTGTTCCAGCTGTGACCACTCCAGGTTGCCTGCACTGGCCTTGGAAAGCAGCACTCCTAAAGCAAGACAGAACTGAGTGAATTCTAGAAGCTCCTACTGCCATTTCACCCACCTAAGAGAATTGCTTCCATGTAATTCTTGCCATATGCATCACTCCTGGCTATATAAATAGACCTTTTTTGAGAAAGGGTATCATGTAGTCCTGACTGGCCCCAAACTGACTATGTAGCTGACCCTGAACCAACCTCGGGAGAACTGAGATTACTAGGCTGCACCATCATGCCTGGCCTCAGTGTGTGTGTGTGTGTTGGCACATGTATGTGATGGGGGCATGCACATATGAATGTGTGTGCATGTGCATGGCAGAGAACTTTAGGTATCACTAGTCAGATGCCATTGACATTTTTTGAGACAGTGACTTTCACTGGCCAGGAACAAGCTATGAAGGCTAGACTGGCAGGCCAGAAAGGCACAGGGACCTGCCGAATTTCACCACCCCAGACCTAGGAAAACAAGCCCGCCTTAGCACAGCTGGCAGGCTCACATGAGTTCGGACCATCTATCTCAGGTCTTGATGCTTGGGAGACCTTGACTGAAGGCCCCATGGCATTCCAGGGAAACGGCTCAGCAGGAAGAGTGCTTGCTGCCAAGCCTCAGCACCTGAGTTCGATTCCTGGGACCCACATAGTGGGAGGAGAGAACTAATTTCATGTTGCCTGTGGTCTCCACTGTAAGCATGCCACATGTGGAAGCCCCTAACACTCAATAAAGGACCCATCTCCCACATCCACTGTTAGATTTGTTGGGACAGGGTCTCGCTTTGTGCCCAGGCTAGCCAAGAACTCAAAGAAACCCTCCTACCCAGCCCCATGAGTGCTGGGCTTACAAGCAGGAAGTGCTAGGTGTTACTTACACCTTGTATCTTATGTTTGACATCACCCAAAGCTTGTAGATTTGGGGAGACTCCCGCTCCTACAGTAGCTGACCATGTTGAAAGACAGTGTATATGCCAGGAGGACATCTTTCATTCACAAAGTAAACCAGCTAAAGCTCTAGCCACAAAAACTTCCTTATTTATGAAGCTCATTCTCAAATGTGTATTTTGCCTCCACTATGTCAGGAAAAAACAAGTAATAGGCAACCACTTCTTCACTAAAATCCCACCAAAATCATTACAGTTTGCCAATGCTAACATGCCTAACTTTTCCTGGGTTACTTTTCATCAAAAATGCCAATAAAGATTCTTCCTCAGGCTCTCCCTTAACCCCACTTCTGTTGTTGTTGTTGGCAGTCCAGACTAGTCCTGGAGTACCCTTTGTTTCCCAGGATTAATTCAAGCCTGGGTACCCTGAGGACTGGGATTACAAGTCCACACCACACACTGCTTTTTGTCCTCCTTCTGACACTTGATCCAGCCTGGGATCTGCCTGACCCTGCCTGGCGTGGCTTAAGCCCCTCTCAGGGGGAGTTACTATCCTTCCAGAGCCCTGTCAGATGGGCTCCTGGGGCTGAAACGGCTTTGTCATCCCACCTCTGACACCAACATCCTTACTATTCTGCAGGTGTCTGGGAAGGGGGCAGTGGAGGTGTAGGACAGCAGATAAACCAGGTGTCTAACTTACCTCAGGAATTCGAGGAAGTAAAGTAGGAGACTGCGGAGATCCAGCTGGTTGGAGGCCGGCTATAGATTTGACCCTGAGGTCTTGGGGTCTGCTGGTGTTAGACCTAAGAGCTGACCTCACCAGGAGTCTCCTAGAAGCAAAGATGTGGTCTTGTCATTAAGAAGGATGGCTCAGTAGGTAAATGCCATTGCCCCTAAGTCTGATGACCTGAATTTAATCCTTAGGACCAACACAGTGAGAGGAGAGAACTGCTGTAAGCTGTCTGCTAACCTCCAAGCACGTGGGTGTACAAACACACACAGCAAATGTAATACAAACATTTTAAAGGAAAGATACGAGGACTATGGGATAAGCTTAGAAAGTAGAGTGATTCCCTAGGATGCAGGAACCATGGGTTCCCTCCCCAGAAACAAAGGGCAAATGATAGCCCCGGCCTATACTAGCATTTCTGAAGGTAGAAAGCAACTATTTCAGGAGTCAATGTCATTGTGTGCAACACAGTGAGTCCATGGCCATCCTACATGGTTACATGAGAACTCAAAGCAGCATTAAAGGCTCTTCCTCAGAATCTCTGCCCTTTCAATTTTGTTTTTTTTCAAGACAGGGTTTCTCTGTGTAGCTCTGGCTGTCCTGGATCTTACTCTGTAGACCAGGTTGGGCTCAAACTCACGGAGATCCACCTGCCTCTGCCTCCTAGTGCTGGGATTACAGGGGTGCACCACCACCATCTGGCTTGCCCATTCACTTTTAAGTATTCCTGAGTCTGTCTGTCTCTGTCTCTGTCTCTGTCTCTGTCTCTGTCTCTGTCTCTCTCTCTCTCTGGGGTGTAGGGGTGGAGGCAATACATGCCATTCTATGCATGTGGAGGCCAGTGGACAGCCTCTGGTGTTGTTCCTTACCTTTCATCTTTTAAAAAATATTTATTTTTACGTATATGAATATGAGTGTACTGTGTGCTTTCCTGTGCCCATCGAGGCCAGAGGAGGGCACCAGATCACCTAGAACTGGAGTTACAGATGGTTGTGAGCTGCCTTGTGGATGCTAGGAATTGAACCCAGGTCCTCTGGAAGAGCACTGAGTGTTCTTTACCACTGGATCATTTCTCTAGCCCCACCTTTCACTTGTTTTAGGCAGAGTCTCTTCTTCTCTACTGTGTATGCTAAGCTAACTGCCCCACAAGCTTTGTTTCCTGTCTCTACCTGACTTCTCACCATGAGGAAAGCAGAGTGCTGGATTATCCCACCACCTCAGATTTGGCAAGAGTCCTTTGGAATGAAACTCAGGTCCTCATGCTTGTTGGGCATGATTTTTTACCCATAAATTCATCTTCCCAACTCTTTGAATTCCCCATTTTTGACAGTGTCCAGGCTAATCTGGGTTATCCTGTTGCCTAAACTGACCTCCAACTGGTAAATCTCCTGCCTGAGGCTGGAATTGCAGACCCATGATGCCACTTGCTGCTTTGGAGCTCCCTTCTGGTCTATGCCACTTCAGCCAACCTGGTACCTCAGCTTGACCCTGTTCCTGGTATGGGGCAACTCGTTCTCTGGGTGGGACCTATGACTGTATGAGCATATTCCTAACAAGTCTCCTTCCAGCGCCCTCCTGTACTGTAAGGCATAAACCTAGATCCTTCTCTAACGTCTCTACCCTTAGTACTCAGCAGGTGTCTAGGAAAGGGGACATGGAAGCATGTGGCAGCCTATCAGCCAAGTGTCCAACTTACCTTAAGAAATAGAAGTAATGTAGAAAACGAGGACTTCTCCTCAACTGGGGAGGAGACTTGACCCCTAGGGTCAGAGGTCTTGGGACCTGGTGGTGTTGGTCGCTATAGATTGACCTCACCAATAAGCCTCCTAGGAGCAAAGATGAAAGGTGGATATTGAGAGTTTACAAGATGGCTCAGAAATAGGTGTTTGCTGCTAGACCACACTACTCAGGTTTGATCTTCAGGATCTAGGTGGGTCTCCCATAGTGAAAGGGGGGAATGAGTGCCCTCTGTCATCCCAAACTATATAGTGCATGCACACACACACACACACACACATACACACACACACACACACACACACACGGGGGGGGAGGTGGGAGAGAGCAATAGAACATCTTAACAGAAGAAATGATTCACTGGGCAGAATACTAACACAGCATACAGGAAACCTTGAGTTCCCTCCTCTGAACAGCATAAAGGGCCCGAGGTAGGTTAGGCTTGAGATCTCAACATTCCCAAATGTGCAGGGCAAAAGCTGGGAATAGTGGTACACGCCTTTTATCCCAACACTTGGGAGGCAGAGGCAGGCAGATCTCTGTGAGTTCCAGGCCAACCTGGTCTACAGAGTGAGTTCCAGGCCAGCCTGGTCTACACAGTGAGGCCCTGTCCTAAAACAACAACAACAACAAAGCTGCAGGAACTGAGTTGGAATGTCAGTGTCATAGTAAGAGCATGGTGACTCCTTGGCCATCACACATGGCTCCGTGAGAAGACGTGACATTCAGGTCTCTGCTCACTGTTGTCATTTTTAGTGTCTGTGCATTGGTGAGAGAGGATGGAATGTATCAAGTCCTCTCTCTGGTGTGCTCCTGGCCACACACGTGCTTTGAAATGGTGTTTCTTGTTCTCTGCATCCTGTAGTTCTCTGTAGTTGTCTAGGAAAGGGCCTAAGGGACATAGGACCAAAGAAAAGCCAAGAGTCTAACTCACCTCAAAAAATAGGGGGAGTAACTTGGGAGGCCTAGAGAGGGGAGCTCCAATTGGTGGGGGTGGGGGTTGGCAGAGGACTTGACCCCAGGGGTCAGAGGTCCTGAAACCTGGTGATGTAGGGTCCCACTGGCTGGGAGCACCAATGAGCCTCCTAGGACAAAAGAGGAAGGTCTGTCTGTCACTGAGGAGGATTCTTTCCTTTTTTTGTTTTTGTTTTTGTTTTTGTTTTCGTTTTTCGAGACAGGATTTTTCTGTGTAGTTTTGGTGTCTGTCCTCGCTCTGTAGACCAGGCTGGCCTCAAACCCACAGAGATCCACCTGGCTCTGCCTCCCGAGTACTGGGATTAAAGGTGTGCGCCACCACCGCCCGGCCATTGAGGAGAATTCTTAGGAATTGTTTAGACCAGATTGTTAAACTCATGAGGGCACTTGCCACCAGCCTGACCATCTGAGTTCCATCTCAGAATCTACATGGTAGAAAGTGAGAACCAACTCCTGAAAGTTGTTCTCTACCTTCCCATGTGCACCTATACCCTGAACACGGGGTGCAAAAACACAGAATAAATGATAGATCGTCTAACAAAAGAAGTGACAGGAGTGAGGTAGAGTTGGTAGCGTGCTGTCTTGGCATTCAGCAAACCTCTCCCCAGCACCAACTATGGAGTCACAAAGTGACAAGGCTTCTAATTCGAGCATTCCTGAACAAGGCAGCAACTGATCAGGGGTTCGAGGTCACCAATGATGGCCGTGCTACATGGTTAATGAGACCAGGAAATGGTACTAAAGGCTCTCTTTCGCTTTCTCAGAATCTCTGCTCATTCTTAACATTTGTGTATGTTCGATGGAGGGTGGTGATGTGTGATGGGCAGCAGCAGGCAGGTGGAGGGCACATCCGAATGTTGGTCCTCACTGTCCACCTTTTCCCCACTATATGCATCAGGATCACTGTCCCTTGGGTTTCTAGATAGTCTCCTATGTCTGCCAGCTTTCTGGTTAGAGGAGAGTGTGACTGCTGATGTCTCCTACCTGTTTGGCCTTTGCATGCATTCTTGGGACTCGAGTCAGGTCTTAGAACTTGTTTGACAACCACACAGTGCACTAACCACTCCACCGCTGCCCCATTTCTTAGCCCAGCTATCCTGAAAAACGCTTTTTTTTTTTTCCATGTTGACCTCCAGCTGGCTACCTGAGCCTCACGAGTGCTGGGATTCCCTGCCCAAGCCACCCCATCTGCTTTGAGCCTTATTTTATCTTCTGTAACTTGATACAAACCAGGAGCCCTCATGTGCCTGTCTGGGAAATGTCAGCCCCCTCTCTGGGTGGGATCAGTGACTGTATGACCACCTCCCTTCCAGGCCTCCCCTAGGTCACCTGCTGAGACTACAGGGTCTTTATCATTCCAGCTCTAGCCTCTCCCTTTACTAACACACTGCAGGTGTCTAGGAAAGGTTTGAGGGGCACATAAGCCGAGTGTCTGACTCACCTCAAGAAATAACTTTGGAGACTTGGAGAATTCTCCACCCGCAGGGGAGCTCCAATAATTGGGGGATGGACAATGGACTTGACCCAGAGGGTCAGAGGTCCTGGGACCTAAAGACCTAGGTCTCTTTGTCCAGGCACAACAGTGAGCCTCCTAGGAGTAAAGACATGGGTTTGTCATTAAGAATGCATGAGTGGCTGGCATGATAAGGCTTTTCCCCCAAGTCTGGGGCCCAGGGTGGAGGGAACTGACTGCCTTCAGTTTCCCTAGGTCTCCTTAGGATTTGTGACAACAAACACAGAGTATATAAATGAATGGCATGTGGACTTGGAGATAGCGTCAGTTAGTAGAGAGCTAGCCAAGCATGGACCACACCATCAGTTCCCTCCCCAGCATCAAATAAATGTCACATGGTGGAGAAAACTGGAACACAAGTTTCAAGTCATCCTCAGTGACATGCTGAGTCATCAGCCAACCTACATGGCTACATAAAACAAAGACGTACCTAATTTTCCTTCCTTTATGTTTGTGTATCCCCCCAACCACACTACGTATGAGTGAGGATGATGTGTGCCATGAATGGCACACATGTAGGACACAGATCATTTGAGTATCCACATTTTTTGAGGTAGGTTCTTACTCTCTGGTGCAGAGGCAGTCCATCTGCCCCACCAAGTTCTAGATAGTTCCGGTATCTGTCTGCCATCTTACTATAGGGAAGCTAGCAGTACAGATGGATGGTACACATTGGTCTTCTACATGTCTTGGGACTAAACACGAGGTTCATGTTCACTGGCAAGCAAATTATTTAGCCATCTCTCCAGCATTCCCTCTTCTTTTCAGAGTCCTGTGTTTCCAGGGTTGACCTCAACCTCTTAAGTCCCCTGTGGGAGCCCCTGAGTGTTGGTATTAGAGGCCCACACTACCACATGCTCTTTGGACCCTCATTCTTGTCTTATGCCACTTGATCTGATCTGGGAATTCCCTGTGGCCCTGCCTGGCATGCAGCAACCCCATGTCCAGGCAGTACTGACTGTGTGACCATCTTCCTACAAGTTCTCCTTGTTTCCCCCAAGGCTGTTTGCTCTTCATGATACCTCCTTAGGCATCTGGATCCTTAATACACTCCTGGTGTCTAGAAAAGGTGCTGGATGGGTATAGAATACAGGGTAATCCAAGAAATAGGGAAAGCAGTGTGGGAGGCTTGGAGAATCTTCCTGCAGGGGAGCTCTAAAGGGTGGGGCGGGAAGGGTCGGAGGTCCTAGAATCGGCTGACCTAGGTCCCTACTGGCCGATCACACCAGTGAGCCCCGAGGAGCAGAGAGAAATTTTTGTCATTAAACAAAGATCTCAGGAACCCTGTGAGGTAGTTTAGAAGATGAAGGTACTTTCCAGTAGCCCATCTGCTCAATCCCCAGGTTCCACATAGTAAAAGACTCCCATATATTGTCCTCTGCCTTCCTACATACAAGTACCACGTACTCAAGGACCTGCACACAGAGAATAACTGATAAGTGTAATAAACACACTTTGAACAAAAGAAATGACGGGACTGTGAATAAATTCAGATGGTAAAGTGCTAGCCAAGCAGACAGGCAGCCACGGGTCCTCTCCCCAACCCTGACTGAAGGAGACAGTGTAGACCTGGCCTGTAATACTAGTACTTCTGAGGGTGGAAGCACGTGCATAGGAAGTTCAGTGTCATCTTCTGCAACTTAAGAGCGTACTTGGCCACCCTACATGGCTACATAAGACCGTGAAATGTCCCTGTAGGTTCTCCCCTAGCTACTCTGCTAGTCTTCTTTTTCATCTTGAGTGTTTGTTGTAGAATATTATTTTAGGATGTGTTACATTTGTTTATGCTGTGAAACATTTGTTTAATGATGCAAATATGTGTTGCTTTCCTCTATATTGCATTTGTTTAACTCGGGGAAGCTGTGTTTAATGTGCTTTCTAAAACACCTGATGGTCTAATAAAGAGCTGAATGGCCAATAGCAAGGCAGGAGAAAGGATAAGTGGGGCCAGCAGGCAGAGAGAATAATAGAAGGAGAGATCTGGAAGGATGAAAGAAATAGCAAGAGAACAAGGAAAGGAAGATGTTGGGGCCAGCCACTCAGCCACCCAGCTAGCCATGGAGTAAGAGTGAAAGTAAGATATACAGAAGTAAGAAAAGGAAAAAGCCCAGAGACAAAAGGTAGATGGGCTAATTTAAGAAAAGCTGGCTAGAAACAAGCCAAGCTAAGGCTGGTCATTCATACGTAATAAGTCTCCATGTATGTTTTATTTGAGAGGTGGGTGGCAGCCCACCAAAAGAGCAAAGAGTAAAGAGCAAAAACAACCAACCACGAGTGTTTGATGGGGAGACTTGTAACATCTCCCACGGGCTGGGGCCAGCAGTGGACTTGACCTCTGTGTGATATGTGGTATGTGGAGGGCACAAGACATCCTCGGTTATGATCCTCACTGTTTTTGATGGTCTCCTGTTCTCTGCTGCATATACAAGGCTAGCTTCCTGCTAGGCTTCCAGATAGTCTCTGATGTCTGCATGCATTCTGCTGAGGAGAGCTGGGGTACTGACATCCACTACCTGCCAGGCCTTTGTGTGTGTTCTTGGGACTCAACTCAGGTCTTCACACTTGTACAACAACAATTTTATGCATTAATCCATCTTCCCTGCTCTCCCCATTTTTTGATTGTCCAGGCTAGCCTGGAACACACTTGGTTCCCAGGCTGGCCTCCACTGGTAAATCACCTGCCTGGGCCTTATGTTGGAGTTATGTTGGCCCAAACCACCTCCTTTGGTATTTAGTCTTGCCTTCTGTTGCTTGATCCAAACTGGGACCCCTTATGATCCAATGTGGCATGTAGAAATCCACTTTCTGAATGCTCTCCGGGATTATACAACCACCTTCCTTCTGGGTCACCTTCATGTCATGTCCTGAGGCTGTCTTTATCATCTTACTTCTGACATCTCCTTCCTCTAATACACTACAGGTGTCTAGGAAAGGTTGGGGGGCACATAACTGAGAAGATAATCCTACTATCTAACTCACCTCAAACAGTAAGGGAGATGACTTGAGAGGCTTGGAGAATTCCCCACCTGCAGGAGAGCTCCAAAAGGTAGGGTGTGAACAATGGAGTTGACCCAGAGGGCCAGAGGTCAGGACCTGAAGACCTTGGTTCCCTCTGTCCAGGTACACCAACAAGCTTCCTAAGAATAAAGATGTACATTTGCTATTAAGAAAGCACATTAGTGGCTGGCAAGATGTCTCAGCAGATGAAAGCTCTCATGGGTCCCCAGCTTGACTATCTGAGTTTGATCTTCAAGATTCACATAGCAGAAGGAAAACACAGGCACACAGAGAAAAATGAATTCAATAAAAATGTTTTAAATTAAAGTGTGGGGGGAAACGCAGCTGGTGGACGATTAACTAGACTATAGGAAGCAGCCATGAGTCCTCTCCCCAACATTAAATACAGGGCACAAATTAGATTAGCATTCCTGGAAGTAGAGGGACCTGGCTCTAGGATCAATGTAACTCTGGTGACATATTGAGACCCTGACCATCCAACATGCTACATGAGACTAGGAAATGCCATTAAAAACTCTCCATAAGAACCTGAGGGGTGTGTGTGTGTGTGTGTGTGTGTGTCTTAGGAGGGTAATGTGCCATGGCACATATGTATAAAACACACGTCATCCTCAGGTGTTAGTCCTCACTGTCCACTTTTTTTGAGGTAGAATCTCCATCTGTGTGGCACAGACCAGGCTGCCTGCCCACAAGACTCTAGATAGTGTCTTGTATTTCTGTCTGCCCTCTTCCCACAGGGGAGCTGGGAGTGCAGATGTGTGCTCTGCACTGAACTTTTCCATATGTTCTTGAGACTCAAAACCAGGTTCACACTCTCTGGCAAGCACTTTGCCTATGGTTTAACATCCTCCCAATGCTCCTCCTTCCCTCTGTTTGAGAGTCTAGGCTACCACAGAACTTCCTGTTTTTCCTAAGCTGACCTCAACCACCTGCCCGAATTATTCTTGTCTTCTGCGGCTTCATCCAACCTGAGATTTCCCTCTAACTCCGCCCGGTTTGAGTGAGAGCTGTCATTGGGTAACTGTCTTCTTCACAGGCCTCCTTCATGTCCACTCCTGTGGCTGTGAAGTCCTTATCATCTCACCTCCAATATCTGCAATCTTAATACACTGTTGGCTTCTAGGAAAGGCACTGAGAGGATATGGGATAGAAGATAAGCGGTGTGTCTAATGTACCTCAAGAAATAGGGAAGTAACTGGGGAGGCTTGGAGAATCCTCCTCCTGCAGGGGGGCTTCTCTTGGTGGGTGGCCGGCAATGGACCTGACCTCAAGGGTCAGAGGTCCTGGGACCTGCTGACTTAGGTCCCTGCTACTGGCTGGGCACACCAATGAGCCTCTTTGGGACAAAAACGTGAGATTATTATTGAGAAACATATCCCCAGTAAGGAGAGTGAGATGGCTCAGAAGAGAGTCTTTCTCCACCAGTGCAACCATGTGAATGGATCAGCCGGGTCCCCGAGCCCCAGGTGGTGGCAGGAGAGAAAGGACAACTGTGAGTTGTTCTCAGATCTACCCAGGTGAGTCCTGGTGTGTGCCTGGGTGCACACAGTCAATGTAATACAACACGGCTTTTAAGAAAGGAAAGGCTGTTAGGACTGGGGATACACTCAGCTGCGGCAGTGCCGGCCTAGCCCAGCACTGCATGGAGAGCACACAGTAGCTCAGGATTACAGTCCTAGATTCCAGAGGTGAAGGCAGCTGGATCTGGAGTTCGAGGGCCATCTATGGCAACAGAGTGGGTTTCTGACCACCCTCCATGGCTAAGTGAGACGATGAAATGCCATTTAAAGGCTCTCCCTCAGAATCCATGCTCATTCTTTTTAACCTTTGTGCTTGTGTTAAGTCTGAGGAGGGTGGATGCTGTATACCATGACAGGAGTACAGAGGCCACAAGAACTCCTCAGGGTTGGTCCTCACCTTCCATCATTTTGGTTTTTTTTTAAATGCTAAGTCTCTAGTTCTCTGCTGTGTTTACCATGTGGTCCTAGCTGCACTGTAAGCTTCCAGATACCATTTCTGCCTGCCATCTTGCCATAGAGGACCGGGAGTGTGCTGCTCCTCACGCCTCAGCTTTTACATTCCTTCCTGGAACTCAAACTCAGATCCTTGCTTTACCGATCAAACCAAATCTTCAACCCTCCCATTTCACATTGTTAAGAGACCTGGAGAGCCTGGAATGTTCTTTTATTTCCCAGGTGGACTTTGAATGGAAAATCTCTTCCCCAAGCCTCCTGAGTGTTGAGATTGTAGCCCCATACCAGGATATGCTGCTTTGTGCTTTGATTCTTGTGTTCTGCCAATTCATGCAACCTGGGATCTTGTGGGCCGCAAGAATATATTATAGATTCAGCTGTGTATTAAAGCTATAGTTTGATCGACCAGGGCCTGTCAAATGTGAAGCCATTTATCACAGAATATTTGGTGTTATACAGCTTTAATATTCAGCTGCATTTTATTATGAATTTCTTGCGGGCCCATATACTCCCAGACCATTTGGCAAACGGTTCAGCTCTCAGACCTGCTGAAGCTCTAGGTAACTAACTCCCTCACTGAGCTTCTTGGGCAAATGAAGACATTTAAAAAGGATTTTGGGGGTGGCTGAGGAAATGGCTCAGCAATGAAGACCACTGTCTGCTCTTGCAGAGGACCCACGTTTGGTTCTCAGCATCCAATACAAGGACCCACAACTGTCTGTAACTCCTTTCCCAAGGGATCTGATGCCATGTTCTAAATTGGAAAACAGACCATGCATGCATGTGGTGAACAGAAATACATGCAGGCAGAACAGTCATACAAATAGACATATATTAAAAAAAGAAAAGACATTACAAGTTGGCTAGATCCTCAGAATATAAAGGGTTTTACCCATGTGTCTGACCACTCAATTGATTCCTGAAGCCACAGGATGAAAAATATAAATTATTATTTGAGGGAAGGAAACAACTCCTGTCTTAACCAGTTACGTTAAGTAGGTAGACATACAATCAATCCATAAAATAGAACACAGAATATTAGGACTAGGAATTAAACTCAGAAGAGGGCAAGCTAGGCAAACAAGAAGTCATAACTTCCTTCTCAAAATGGCGTAAAGGACATACACTAGATCAGGCCTGTATGCTTAGCATTTGAGGAACAGAAGTTCACTATCCTCTGGGAGAAAGAGTGAGTCCGTGGCCATCCTACGTGACAACATGAACCAGAGGACATACATTAAAGGCCCTCCATTGAAATACACTCATATTTTTATAATTTCTAAAATTTGTAACATTTTATGTGCAACATCTGTGTGTGTGTGTGTGTGTGTGTGTGTGTGTGTGTGTGTGTGTGTCTAATGTGTAAGAGACAAGAGAAAGAGAGAGGGAAAAGGACAGAGAGAGAGAATAAAACACATAGGAGATGGAGATGAGTCAATTACATCATGGCTGACACCATGAAGATACATTAGAGGCTCTCCTTCAGAATGTCCACTTACTCTGCTTCATGTCATTGTTTGCACTTCCCTCTGTGTCTCCTGTAGACTGGACACACACACACTGGCCTGTGAGCAGGCTCAACATGTCTCTTGCAAGTATTTGGAGGGAACCAGGCATCATAGGATGTGGTCCCAGCCTTCCACCTTTTTGAAACAGTGCCTTTTCTCCATTGTGCTCCCCCAGCCTGCTGCCCTATGAATTTCTGGACTCTTTGTATCACCTCTGTCTCCCAGGTGGCCACAGAAAGCCCTTGAGTATGACCTATGCTACTCCCTCAATTTTCCCTGTATTGTTGGGCCTCAAACTCAGATCCTCTGCTGGCTGGCAAGGTCTTACCCAATAAGCCATCTCCTCAGCATTCCTTGTCCTCCACTGCCGAGGGTCTAGGCCAGCCTGGGACATCTTATGTTTCCCAGGCTCATCTCTAAACAGTAAATTACATGAGCCTCCTGAGTGGTGGCATCTCAGGCCACCACCCCCTTAAGCACATGATGTTTGGCCCTCATCCTTGACTTCCACTCCTCTTGGTCCATCCAAGACTTCTCCCCGTGCCTAGCACAGGAAGTACTCCTTGTATGACTGGGGTCTGTGACTGTAGAACCATCTTCCTTCCAAGTCTTCTCCGGTCCCCTCCCAGGAATGTAAGGTCTCTAACATCCACCTCCAGCATCTGCAACTGCAGAAACCTAGAGCTGTCTAGACACGAGTTGAAGGTGGGGGCCATGGTACAGATGATAATTCAAGTATCCCACTCACCTCAAGAAATAGGGGGATAGCTTCAGAGACTTGTGAAGTCTCCTCCTCCTCCTGCAAATGAGCTCCAATGGTGGGGGTCCGATAATGGACTTGACCCAGAGGGTCAGAGGTCCTAGGACCTGTTGGCCTAGGTCCTTACTGGCTGGGCGTACCAATGAGCCTCCTAGGAGAAAGATGCAGGATTGTCATCAAGAAAGTATATTCCGGAGAGCCCACCAGCTGAATGGACTAAGTGGTGAATCTTTGTTCTCATAGCCAAACATCCCAGCCTCTAGGCTTTGGGCCCAGGTACACAATCCCGCACCCCCACACCATCACCCATTGCAGTCCCAGTTTCAGGCCAGCAGACACATCTCCTGCAGACAGGTTGGAATACCACCATCCCCCACCAGATCCTGTAACCTACAAGCTCCACTCCTCCCAAACCCACACACGCTCTGAGACTGCAGCTGCTCCCTGGGACAGACCACCAGACTAAGAGCTGCTCCCAGAGACATAGAGTCCATCAGCACCAATTGGACCAAGATCCCTGATTAAACCAAGAGCTCCCATTGGACCAAGTGTATTGATCAGACCAAGTAGAGGCTCCCTCAGACACAGATACCACATCCACTGAATAGAGGAAAAGATGAGTAGATGCCAGTGCAAAAATACAGTCAACAACATAAATACCAATGTGGCACCATTAGAACCTAGTGGTTCTACATAAGCAAGACCTGAACATCCCAACACAGAAGAAGCAGAAGATATTAACCTTAAAAATGACATTAAGAAGATAATTGCGGCCTTTAGAGATCAAATGAAAAATTCCCTTAAAGAATTGAGGAAAAGACAATAAATTGGAAGAAATTAATGAATTCCTTAAAGAAACCCAAGAAAAAACCAACTGGTGAAGGAAACACCTCAATATTTGAAAACTGAAATAGAGACAATAAAGAAGATGCAAACTGAGGGTATGCTGGAAGTAGAAAATCTGAGTAAATGAACAGGAACTACAGATGCAAGCATAACCAATAGAATGTAAGAGAAGAAGAGAGAATCTCTGGTGGTGAAGATATGGGAGAAGAAATAGATTTGTCAGTTAAAGAAAACACTAAAGCCAACAAAGTCATAACACAAAACATCCAGGAAATTTGGGAAACCATTAAAAGACCAAATCTAAGAAAAATAGGGATAGATGAAGGAGAAAAATACCAACTCAAAGTCACAGAAAATATATTCAACAAAATCATAGAAGAAAACTTTCCCAACCTAAAGAATGAAATGCCTATGAAGATACAAGAAGCTTACAGAACACCAAATAGACTGGATCAAAAAAAAAAAAAGTCCCATTGCCATACCAACAAACTACAAAGCATCTAAAGAAAAAATGTTAAGAGCTGTAAGGAAAAAGGCCAAGTAACATATAAAGACAGATGCCTCAGAATAGCACCTGATCTCAAAGGAGATTCTGAAAGCCAGAAGGTTCAGGACAGATGTTATGCAGACACTAAGAGACCATGGATGCCAACCCAAACTATAATACCCAGCAAAACTCTCAATCACCATGGACAGAGTAAACAAAATATTCCATGATAAAAACCAGATTAAAACAATACCTATCCACAAATCCAGCCCTACAGAAAGCAGTAGAAGGAAAAAAAATCCAACCTAAGGAAGTTAAATACACCCATGAAAACACAGGCAAAAGATAACTAAACAATATCAAATACAAAGAAGGGAAACACACAACACTACCACCCAAGATAACAGGTATTAACAATCACTGGGCATTAATATCCATTATAATCAATGGTCTCAATTTACCTATAAAAAAGACACAGGCACACAAAATGGATATAAAAAGAGGATACATCATTCTGTTGTATACAAGAAACACACCTCAAGTTCAGAGACAGACACTACCTCAGAGTAAAAGGCTGGAAAAAGACTTTCCAATCAAATGGAGTTAAGAATCAAGCTATAGCTATCCTAACATATAACAAAATAGGCTTCAAACTAAAATAAATCAAAAGAGATTGGGAAGGTCATTACATATTTATCACAGGGAAAATCACCAAGATGAAGTCTAAATTCTGAATATTTATGCCCCAATACAAGGACACCCACATATGTAAAAGATACATTACTAAAGCTTAAATCATACATCAAACCCCACACACTTATAGTGGGAGACTTTAACACCACACTCTCACCACTGAACAGATTTGCCAGAATGAAACTTGACAGAAACAATAGGGACTTATCTGATGTTATGACTCAAATGGATTTAATAGATATCTACAGAATATTCTACCCAAACATAAACAAATATAACTTCTTCACAGCACCCCATGAAACATTCTCTAAAATAGACCAAATTCTTGGTCACAAAGCAAATTTCAACAGATACAAAAAAATTGGAATCACCTCCAGTATTTTATTGGACCACCATGGCTTAAAGTTAGATTTCAAAAACCAAAAAAATTACAGAAAACTTAAATCTCATGGAAACTGAATAATGCCTACCTGAGTCATCAATGGGTCAAAGAATAAAGAAAGAAAGAAATTACAGATTTCCTAGAATTCAATGAAAATGAAGATACAACATACCTAAAATTATGGGACACTATGAAAGCAGTGCTAAGAGGAAAATTCATAGCACTAAAGGCCAAAAAAAGAAGATGGAGAAATCTCACACTAGCGACTTAACAGCACACCTCGAAGCTCTAAAACAAGAGGAAGCAAACTCACCCTGGAGGAATAGATGCCAAGAAATAATCAAATTGAGGGATGAAATCAATAAAATAGAAACAAAGATAACAATACAAAGAATCAATGAAACAAAGAGTTGGTTCTTTGAGAAAAAAATCAACAAGATAGACAAACTCTTATCCAAATTAACCAAAATTCAGAGATAGAAATCC